TTGCTATGTTTTTAGAATTTTTCTTTTTACATTTTCAAGGGGAAGTACCAAGCAGAGTCTGAATGATGAGATCTACATGATATAAAATAGATATTAGAAATCTCAAGAATGTTGGAAGAGAACGTATGAAATTGTAAACAAGACAGACAAAAGTATAAGTACAGTGAATAAAAAGATATAGAAATTTAGGTAAAAGAAATACAATTGAATAAGAAGAAAATGAGATAACCATAAAAGAAAATTAAGAGAAGTAAAGGGAGAAATAGTGAGAAGTTGGAAAAAGAGTAATAAGATATGAAGTTGAATACATAAGGTGAATATACATATGAAATTGTGTCTGTATGGAAATGTGATAACCCGGAACGATGCTGTACTCAAGATTTGTTTTGTTAAAACTCAATAAAACTTTATTAAATAAATAAATAACAACAACAACAACAACAACAACAACAACAACAATAATAATAATAATAATAATAATAATAATAATAATAATAATAATAATAATAAAAAAATTGGTCAGTTTGGTCTAGTGGGTAAGGCACCAAACCTGATATGTTTGCTGCCTTGAATTACTTGTAAAAATCATAAAGACGGGAAACAAGAAAATAAACAATGTTAATATTAAGAAATAATGTTCTTCTTTTTCCTAGTCAACTGAACCGAAATCCTATCTGTTACCATCAGAATATAGCACAGCAGATCACCGCTACCACAGAACTTACCTCTTTAAGCTGGGTGATCATGCCAAGAACAATCACTTCTCCCATTTTGGCAGAGCTACCCAAAAGAGTTTCTACAGTTTTGAGCTGGAATCAAGAGACACCAGATTAGTAATAACTACATTAGAGGTAGCTCACATGTGATCTTTAAGACACTTTTTTTGTGGCCCTTAGAAACCAACCCCCCCACCAATGATTCGTAAAAACTGGAAGCAAAATCTGCCATTTTTAGGTGAGATACAATTAAAATAGATCTCTCCAAGTATAGCCCCAACCACTTGTGGGTCCCAACTCCTAAGCAGTCCTCAGCTACTCCCCAATGATGTGTGGTACACAAGCATCAAAAAATTGTCCATCTGTAGTCCATTATTTCAAAGCCTTCAGTAGATCTTGGCAGGTACAATAAAACATCTCCCAAAATTCAAAAGCAGCTTTCTCCAATCAAATGCCTTCCCGAAGTGTTGAATTCAGTCATTAATCATTCCTACACTGGCTTACATTTATGGGAAATATAGTCCAAGACATCTTTCAGGGAAGATTACTCCAAAGAGTGAGATCAGTTTAGTTGTATGTGTCATTAGCATTTCAATTTTTACCTGAAATTTACTTGTGCTTTCATCTGTTTGTGTGCCAATAGCAGATGGCGTGAACAATTCATGCCTATGGGTTCTCTGCACAATAATAAATAGGAGTCAATTAAAAAGACAAACAACATGAAATTATGATTTCAGCAATTTTTTTCAGGCAGGACTACTCTCAAACTCTTATTCAGCAATAAAAAATTGTCTTTCATGGCTTTTAGACTTCATCAAACTCCAAACATAAAGGGCAGCAGAGAAAGACTGTTGAATAAGCCCTACTATGACTAATCCACCTCTGTAGACTGCGGAATAGTACAGCTACTCTCTAGATCTCAGTAACAGAATAACTCATGAATTCCTACCCAGAAATTGATCTATATTTGTAAAAAACATCCAGGACTTAGTTCCTAGCAAGGATATTTAGGAACATAATAATAATGTATAAATAACAAAAGCACTAAGTGACCTTAAAATTTCTTTCCATTTTTCCTACCTGTTGCAAAATGATATAACGTTCACGAAACAATTCTGCTTTATCCCTGGCAGAGCCAAATAAATTAGGTGCAGAGTGGTCAGTCATAGAAAGGCTGAAATAAATTTAGACTTGGGTAAAAATAATATATTTTTAAAACGTAATAAAACACTGTTTAAAATAAAACTGTTCCTTATAAAGGAATAGGAAATAAATTATACATAACTTTAAAATGTGAAAGTAGCTGAAATTCAAACTGTTTAATAATTATATAATAAAAACTTACGGGAGAAACTTCTTTCGTTCAGAATTGTAAATATATCGTGGAATATCAAAAGCTCCAATAATGTTGAAAATATGTTCCCTGCAATAAAAATATGCATCCTTTGAAAAATTCTACCCTAGAATATATCTGTTTTTACATTTATAAATTATTTTGCATTGTTTTAACTAGTTACTATTTCAACTATTTTTAAAATGATTATATAACTATTGTAAATTAAAAAGTAATTTGTTTGATCTTTTTGCCAGCTCAGGAAATGATTCCAGACTCATATCTTTGTAGCATTTTAAAAATATTTTAAACAATATGTAACATAGCACCATACTTGTTTATATTGTAGTGTCTATTGTAGAGTCCCTGACCAAACAAAATCATTTGTAGTACAGAACAGCACATTTGCATTCACGAAGTTACACTGATTCTTCTAAAACGGCTTCCTTTTAAAATACTATTATCTATACTCCCTGGTTTAAGCCACAATGCTTCTAGACATGGTATATTATTAAATATTTTAATGTTAAAATTCTCTAGGAGGTCTATTCATCAGAGAAAATATAGATACCAATAGGGGAGACAGACAGAGGACAATTAACAATGTAATTGCAAAAAAATCCTCCTAGTGGTATTTGTTTTAAAATAAAGGAGACTAACATACATTGTTTCATCTATTGATCTGCTGCACTCCAAGACTGCTGTTTCCACCATGGACCTTTCAATCATGTTGCATGACACTGAAAAGAACATTCCAAAATATTGAACTGGTAGTTTATGCAATTAGAGACAGAAAAAATAATTTTAAATGGTATTAAATCTCTTCAAAGTAAATCACGATAGAATTCCAAAACATTTAGAAGGGGTGACCTCAATGTTCAAAATGAAGTTATATATACAGAATACCTTAATCAAAGAACTTCCAAAGAGAAAACCATACCCCCACCAATGCTGGCAGGACAAGCTATTACAAACAGAGAGCAAATCCGTATCACTATGACACTTCTAAAAGGGCCTGAAGACCCTGTTCTGCCAACTGGTCTGGAGCCCCAATGGTGGCATGTCATTCTGGAGATGATTAATGGACTAAGATTCATCTTCTTCCTGATCTTTGCTCCCTTCCTTCCTGTCAATTTTAGTGATACTTGTTTTAAGATTTTATCTATTTTTGATTATAGGCCACCTACAGTTTCCTCTAAGCAAGATGGGTATCATATAAGCTTAATAAGTAAATAAAATAAAATTTGTATTCTACTATATTGTTTACCTGGTTGCCTTGTCCTTGATTTATCTGGGTGTCGGCTGCTAGAGAGGATATGTTCTGGTCTTTTTGTTTCCTTCTTAGAGTTTTTATTGTTTCTTGAATGTTGTATAAATATGGCTTGTTTCTATGTGCCTATTGATTGCTGAATTGTTTTCATGCCTAGCTTCCAGGAAATCCCTAACATTTCTGGATTTAGTTTAGTCTACAATATTCAGTTGCTCAGTTGAAATTGTGATTGAATTGTGAGATTAAGGAGTTTTCATCATATTTTCTGACTGCTCGTTGGTGCTCATGGATACACACAAACCATATAAAATCTTCTAGAACATCTTAAATAAACCAAAAGATGCAATAGCCCAAAGGGGAGAAAAAACAGGGGTCATCTGCAATATACAGTATAAAGACTGTAACAACCCCTATATAGGACAGACAGGCCACCAGCTTTCAATGTGATATATCACATGATTTTTTATTATTTTTCAAACATTATCAAAACTGAAAATTTACTTACAAGACTGTTTTTCAACAGCATCAATTATATTTTCTATCATGTCTTCCAGTTCCACTTCATTAGTTGCTTGAAGAGCTTCTGTGAGATACTTTGTAGCCTCCCTGATGATTAGTAATATTCAGATTACTTCCCCAAAACATCTGATGTACACTTATACAAAAGTAAAATATTAGTATGAAACTTTTCCAGTTCAATCATCTGAAGTATTTTTCCAACCATTCAGATAAACTTGGTGTTTCCTAGATAGTCACAGCTTAATATTCTTAATAAATATGGATAATATGATGTAGTGATCAGATCAATTCAGAGATGGAATACTAATCATGACTTTCAATTTGCACAAAGTTTTGATATTAGCTGTAGTTTGGAGAATGGAGAATGACCTAAGTAAGTTGTTTCAATTTCTCGAAGATAAATGTGGGGTCACTTAGCTTATGAATTGTGTTTTATTTCACTCAACTTTCCATTATGTTGGAGAGTAATTATTTGTCAAGTTGCAAGTACAACAGGATCATTAAAGATCAGTTAGTATCATTGTCTAGGTAAGAGCTGATCATGTGACCACAGGGATGTGGCAATGGTCGTGAGAAAAATGTTACTTGTCACTTTTTTCAATGCTGTTTTAACTTTGAACAGTCACTAAATGAACTATTTTAAGTTGAGGACTACCTTATTTGTATAACTTGCTAAACACTAGTTTCCATCATAATTTAACTTGACATGAGGTATTAGGCAAAATGTGGTTATTTTATAGTCAATGTGTCATGTGAGTCTGGCAACTGGTCTTTGTGAACCAGTTATACTAACTATGGGTAAATATGTTATGTGCATATAACCATAAACTTTACTGTGGTAAAAAATATTATATTTGGAAAATTAAATCTTGAACTTCTAAATATTTATTATAAAATTCAATGGACCCAATTTTCAAAGATCACACAACAAACTTATTATTTGTCCACTGCACTATGCTATATTGTATTTAAGTGGTTCGTATTAATTTTAAGTGACTTTTTTATTAAACACGCAACTAAAGTATTCAAAAAGGAACTTAAGCTCGGCAGCGTCTTGAGTGATGCAATCAATCACATTACTTAGAATAGTGAAAATAAACTTATTATAACTGTAAGTCAGTGTTTCTCAAACATGACTTTAAGTGGATAGGGAATTCTGGGAGTTGAAGTCCATACATCTGAAAATTGTCCAGTTTGGGAAACACTACATACTTATATATGTGACTGCTTTAACTAAATATAGTTCCTTCTCAACACGTTTTCATTCCATCTGGTCTGTTGCATTTGCCAGTTTTATTTTTAAAATTTTAATTTGACTGTTGGGAGCTGCCCAGTCATCGAGAGTCGGGCAACATACAAGTTTTATTTTGTTGCATTCAAGAAGGTATAGCTTGTATTAGTATAAATTATACTGTAAACCAAGATTAACAAGCCACAACGGTTTAAAGAAGAAGCAAAGCAAGAGATGGTTAACAGATTAGTCTGCTTAAATCAACACATTAATCTGGCGACTTGATTTTTGTTCAGCCATCATGTTTGGTTTTATAGTTTCCATGGGCAAAAACAGCCATTCAGGGTGTTCACGGGTATTCAGATTAAAGATTTTGGGGGATTTCTTTGTTTTTCACTACTCACGCGCGGAGGACCAAGCCGTGCATTTTGAAAGCAGCGCCCACTTTACTTCTCAGCTTTTCCGCAGCCATCTTGAACGGTTCGCGCCACAACGCGACTCCTCCCCCCGAGTTCCAGCCCAAAGCGTTCCCGCCAAGCCGCTGATTAAAGCAGCTGTACGGCCGCGGTTCTTCGGCGTTCAGTAAAGGCAGCCTTGCTACCATTGGCAGGTTTTAACCCGTTGAATTATTCCCCCCTCCCCAAATCCGGTGAATTGCAATCAGTTTATTGGCTGATGATGGTATCTGGAGGGCACCAACCCCAGGCCCTGGATTTTAGGACTATGGGGCAATGCAGAATCCTTCACTTTTGTTTTGATCCTTCTATGTAAAAGTGTTAATAAATGCATTTATTTAATATGCCTTATTAAAAGGTGAATGTAACAATTATTGTGCATCCAGCAGAGACTCCTACCTAACCTGCTTCCTGTGTTGTTTGCCCGTGGTTAAGATGTTGAAAAGGATCAAGTGTCAGACTGCACATCATTGTAAAACAAATTAGCCACGTAAACTAAACTGGTGCCACTTGCTAGGCAAAATTTTGGTGGGATAATCTGCAGTACAGTGTTTTTGGAAGCCTTATATGCTTTATTTCTGAGAAGCTAGTTTTATTAATCCAATTTGCTTGGCTGTCCATCTATTCCAGAAATGTTGGTAGCAAAACAAAAACTTAGTACTAACTGCATCCAGTCTCAATATCCAACCTGGAATGCCTGAAGGAAGATAGGATTGCTGAGATGCACCTAAAGCTAAAGCTTCAGTTGCTAAAGCCTCATTTCTTCAAAAAAAAAGCTTCACCAAAAGATGTTTTGACATAAAACTTGGTCATTAGTATCTAACCGTGGTGAGAACATGTTCTAGCAATCTTATTTTTCTGCCACATCCTGATGACATTGCCTTATCTTTTATTTTTGAAATAAATCATCCCTAACTATTCTGATACACCATTTTTCCTTTAAGCAGACAATAAGCTGTACTGTCTTACTGTGAAAACAATCTGATAAATTGAGTTTTCCTCTGTATATTCTATATGGAGTCCATTTTCCCTATTTGAAGTATAGGAAGTTAGCACCCACCCCTCCTAGAAAAATGAAATATTCTGGGAAATATTAAAAAGGCAGAATATTTCCCTAAAAAAAGTAGAAACTCAAGAGCAGAAAATCACCTCAGAAGTAGAAGCTCACCTCCACCTTTGTTAATGGGTGGGCCATTAAGGCCTGGGCCAGAATACTTTACATAACAAAGATCTCCAGGTAAAGCTATAGCAATTGCTCAAAAGACTTTTCAGTGCATCATCCAGCAAGGTTCAATCAAGCCTGGAATTCAGGACAGCCTACAGAGTTGCCCGTGCATGGCCCCATGGGAGTCTGACAACCAATCAGAATACAAGCTCCAATTCAAATCCCAGCAAAAGTTATAAAACCCAGGCACTCTCAGCACCTCAGCCTTTTTCTTGATCCCTTCCTTCACCTTGAAGCATGTGATCATCCTTCCTTTTCACTCTGGAGTTCCAGGCCATGTGGTCCTGTCCACCATTAAACCTTCCAAACAGCCTCCATGTTTCCAGTGTCTTTTTCCCCACTTGGAACTGAACCCAGAAGGATATTTCTTCCAACAGAAGGAAAGAGTTTCATCTGATTTACAAGTGATATAAAGGAAGAGCATGCATAAGACAAAGAAAGGGAGACTCCTCCATCAGGCAATTCCTCCCTAACCTGTTGGAAGAAATATCCTTCTGGGTTAAGTTCCAAATGGGGGGAAAAGACACTGGAATCATGGAAGTTGCTTGGAAAGAAGGTTTATTGATGAACAGGATCACATGCAGAGCTCCTGGGAGAAAAAAGGGAAAGGATACTTAAGAGTCCCTGGTTTTTATGCCCTCTCTGGACTTTGAATTTGAGTTTGTGTTCTGATTGGTTGTCAGACTCCCATTGAACCATGCAGGGGTAACTTGGTAGATTGTCTTTTGAGTCCCAGGCTTGGTTGACTCTTGCTGGGTGATGATGTAATGAAAGGGCTTTGGGCAATTCCTATTATGGCTCAGCTTGAAGGAGGTAGATCTTTGTTATGTAGAATAGACTGCCCCAGACCTTAATGGCCCATTAACAAGGTGGAGGAGGGGCTGAGTTTCTGCCTCTCTGAGTTTCTATTTCTCTTTTAGGGAAAATATTCTGCCTAAAATATTTCATTTTCCTAGGAGAGGGGTGAGTTTTAACTTCCAACAAACCTTTTTTTGTTAAATAAGTTTATCCCTCTTTCAGAAGAACCCTTTTAAAAAGCCTAACAACTGACAGTAGTGTTGAGGGACTATAAAATACAGGGTTTCTTCTGTTTCTCCCTGCAACTTACCCAGTACCTGTCAGCTGTTTTTTAAGCTTCACCAACAGGTGGGGGAGGGGGAGGGGAGTTGAGCAGTGATGTTCTTCTTGGAAGAAGAGGCAAGGTGAAATAAGAGCTGCTGATTACAGTATGTACCAGTCTCTGATCACATGGATCAATTCAATCAGGCCCGGCAATTAGAAGCTTTGAGTTTTTGCAAAACCTGGATTGAAGTTTTGACAGATAACTAAACCTACTAGTCTAGCCTTCCATCAAAACTTGCAAATCAGTGATTGGTGGATTTTTCCCTACCAACTTGTGATGTCCTGTGTGACAGCCTTATAAATAAGGGCATCAGCATTTGGCACCTGTGTCAGTAATGGGAACAGTAAACTTTATAGCACTATAGTTTTTGGCTGACATTTGTAGACAAATCTTAGGGCAGCATGTTTGCAAGAACAAGTGCATCTGCAACATGTCTTCAAGACAAAGTTGTCAAAATGTTTATTAGCTATTTTTATATATTAGATTGTATATTAATTGGGTATTTTGATGCATACCTTAGGAATTGATGTTTCTTTGCTAACTATAAATTTACTTAAATATGCAATGCAGTTTTAATTTGGTATGTTTATGCATCAAGGTACTGATATTCAGGACTGTATTAAGCATATTAATTCAAAAGTACTGTATGAATGAGCAGTAATGAGTACCACGGGAGAGTTCTACTTAGGATCAATTAAATTTCTTCTAATGCTTAAATTCTCCCATCAATTGAAAATGTACATTTTGCGTTCACCAGCCACCTTAAGTTTATTATCCAAAACATAATGCAAATAAATGCATTTGCACAATGCTTAAAAGCTTGGCTTGGAATATCTTCGATTTCCTTTCTTATATGGACTAATGCGTAAGATGTACGATGTATTCGTTCTTGATTCAGTCTATTATTCAAATCCCCAAAACTAAGTACGTAAATTGAATAGCCGCGCACTTCGAAGGATAGGAAAACGTCCCTCTGCTCCAATCTCCTGCTCAGCCAGACGAGTTCTCCGCCTGCCTGCGCGTTTCTCTGCTAACGGCAGGGGGCGTTATCACAGTAACGCACCCTCGCTTGTCCGGCGTTCTGAGCGAGGGGGCGGCGGACGCGGTTGCTGAGGGGACTGCCACGGAGACGGTGACTGGGCTTATTTGCTTCATTCCCTCCTAATCCACCCCGCGCTAAGATGGCGGCGGATCCTCCCCCTGAAGAGTTCGGCGTGGCCGAGGAACGGAGCGGGCATTGCGCCGTGATCGATGGGAATTGTCTTTATGTGTGGGGGGGATACGTGGTAAGGAAATTAGGGTCGACGGGGAAGCCGAATGGTTGGACAAATACGTGTGGGAACGAAAAAAAAGCCTCGTATTAAAACCGCGCAATAGAAGAAACCACGGGGGAGGGGGGGGCGAGAGAAGCTGGTCGCTTTATCTCGCCTTCCCCCTCAGCCGTGTTGTTTTCAAAGAAAGCTCGCTGTCGCCCCTCCTAGAGCGAAACGGGCGGGAAAGAAAAAGAGGGCACGCGCCGCTTTTGGACGTGATGGGGGAAGAGGAGGTTGGGTGTTTATCTCAGCTGTTTATCTGATTGGACGGTGGCGCCTCGTGAGGTAGCAGCTGGCCCGCCTCTTTTCCCACCTCCATGAGGCTGAATTATATACTGCATTTGAGCGCCAGAATCTCGCGGCGCCTTAGAAGTTTTGACAACCTGATGTTGTGTCAGATGGTTTGCTATAATAAAGTCGCCTTTGTCTTAAAAGTGTGGCACTATTCTTTTTCCTTGTCTGAGATTTGCAAGCCTGCGAGCTACCTTGTGGGTGTGTCTTGAGTTCCCACGTTGCAGATAGTCCTCGACTTCAGACCATAATTGGGACCAGAATTTCCATTGTTAAATAAGGTGATGTTAAACGAGTCACACCCAACTTTACAACCTTTTGCCAAGATCGTTAAGTGAATCACAGGGTCATTAAGCAAATCTGGCTTCCCCCATTGGTTTTTCTTGTGGAAAGCCAGACAGGATGAATATTTGATCCCAGGATTCTGCAACCCAAATTTTGCCCCCCACCAAGGAGGGGGTGTTTTGCAATGGTGAGGACCAGTTATCGCTTTTTTTCAGAGCCATTGCAGCTGAACAGTTGCTAAAGGAATGGTTGTAAGTCGAGGACGGCTTGTACACTGAATCCTGAAGTTTGTATCGGAAATAAGCATGTTTATAATCTCATGGGTTTAAAGTTATGGTTTATGGCTTGGCTTGGCTTAGGGTTAGATTGGAACCCAGCCATTCTGATGTAATCAGTATCAAGAGTGAAGCAAGTGCTGTACTGTATGCTTCCATTGACTTGATTGGTTTCTATGCCAAATGGATGGCTGTGGTTAAGACGATAACAGTTTGTGCATCTCCAAGCAAATGAGAGTATCAAATTATCTAAATCCAGTTTGGAGATGAACACTATGATCATTGGTGATATACCACATTTTTCTTTCAAACGTCAGTCAGAGCTGTCTTGACTTGGTCTCCTGTTTCAGGATAGCAGACGATGTAAGCTAACCCCTTGTCCAGTTAATTTCAGTTATTTTTAGTCTTGAGATATTGAAGATATGGCTTGATGGGAGGAGATCTGAGGTCTATCTGCTTATTTAGGTGTTGACAGCCAGGATGTGACTGGCTTATAGATAAGGGAGATGATCAATATGGCTAGGATGTGTACAAGCTACTCATGTCCAAACTATCAAGCCACCAGGCTTTTCCTGCCCTTCAAGAAAAGGAAAATACAATCTCTATTATATATACAATCTAAATATATTGCCTTTATTATTATAATAATTCATTGCAAAGTAAAGGATTTCCTTTGCTGCTTTCATGAGCAGTTAATTTCATTAGAGTTAATTTGGAATAAGGACATCTATTACCATTTTGACATTCTGGAAATGGCAAAATATACAGGACCATTAATAACTGGTGCCATAAATGCAAAGCTTTTTATATTTATGGGATAAATGTTCTAATTCTACTGGGATATTGGAAATATTTGCAGTGAGATTATGATAATTTCCAACAAATTCTTTATATACTACTTCTCTGTCAAGATATATTTAATTCTTGCAGGCATAAATTATACATATGACTAAGTACCTTAGCACCTTTAATGTGCTAAGATCTTCAATGTCACTTTCTATGCTTTCACTGATTTGCCACTTGAAATTTCCTTTCCAACAAAAGATTAATGAATGGTACACTGAGTTATGCATGTAACTCATAGTAAATGAAAGGAAAATAATGTGTGCTTTATGATTACTAAAACAATGCTCCAGCAGGCCAAGTTATCTATTATAGAGCTAGAATTTGAAATGGAAATTATTCAGAAATACATGTAGCTTTTTGAAAATAAGAATTATGTCAGAACTACTGTTTTTTTTCTGATAGTCTATTGAAGAAAATGAAGTTTACTTACCAAATGATGAACTTTGGATCTATGAAATTGACAGTGGATTATGGTAAGTTACATTATTTATTGTACTGTTAATTTATCAGAAGATACTTTATATCAGGGGTCCCCAACCACCGGTCCCCGGACCGGGACCGGTCCGTGGATCATTTTTTACCGGGCCGCAAAGCTTGGGCGCCGCCATCTTGTTTCAACGGCGCTTCCGGGTTTTCGGTTGCTTCCGGGTTTTCAGTTGGAAAGCGGCGTTTGGGTGCTCGTGCCTTAGTTTCGTCGAAGGGGGGGGCGGCTTTGAACGAAGAGCCATCGCGATGGCGGTGGAATCTCGCGTTACTCAGGTACCGGTCCGTGGAAGAATAAATAATCGTGAAACCGGTCCCTGGTTCAAGAAAGGTTGGGGGCCACTGCTTTATATGATAAACTTTATTTGTTGAAATTATTATTTTAGCTAAATAAGCTTTTTACTTCCTTATTTCTTTTAATTAATTTGGCATTGAAAAAGAAATATGGTCTTAAGGCTAGATTTCCATAACAGAATATGTTGAAATATGACTGGCTAGTTCTAGATCACAGCAAGTATAATTTATGGTACAGTGTTTTGTGGAAATTCAGGTAACTTGATTAACTGGACAAACCATTCCTAGATTTCCTACATTGTATAAATGAGCCCTGTTAATTTTTATGTGATTTTAATGCATTTGGAAATGGATATCAGTGATAATTCTTTTCCTTCTCAGAGCTATTATAACTAGAAGATTCTGTTCTCATTTAGGAATGAGTCAGAAAGTCTTGAACTAGCTAGTAAGAATTTCACTATTCTTTCCAGTGTATTTATCTGATTGTGATGAAAGAATTCCCCCCTCCAAAGTACATATACCTTGTGTTGCCTGAAAATAATGACGTAATGTTCATATCTGGTGGGCATGAAGTATAATGACTGGAAGAGAATGACATAGATTGAGGTAGATAACATTTTCGACAAAATTATTAAGTGTTATTTTGAAGTATTTAAAGTATTATTTCTTTTATCTGTTTCTCATACTCTCTGAGCAAACTTAAAGTATATTTGTATTGCCTGAATTGCAGGTCAATGCATCTAATGAAAGGAGAGTTACCTCCATCTATGTCTGGAAGCTGTGGAGCTTGCATTAATGGGAAGCTCTATATCTTTGGAGGATTTGATGACAAAGGATACAGCAACCAGGTACTGAATTCCTTTCATTGTTAAAAACTTTCCCAACAAAATAAGACATTTTTAAAATGGTGAAAAATATGGTTCAGTTTGTTTAAAACTGAACTGTATCATTTTGTATATTTATAATTATTCCAAGTTCTTATGTGTTTCACATGTTTTTATGATTCATTGTTGTAGCTCTATTAAAACTTAAAAATATATAGTGGTAAGAATGTATAATGATCAAGAAATGTCAAGAATAAGATCTGAATTTGGGATTTTTCATAGATAGTGCTTATGAGACTAATCAGCACCCAAATAATAATTTTGGGACATCTAGGTGCTTGAATACCTCATATGGCATAGTTTATTTTTTCATTGGACAGTAAAATCTTTCTCATATATGACATAAATGCTGTATGGAAAATAAAAATCATATCTCACAGAACAAATATATTTAGCATTGTTAATTCTTGTACGCTATATGTAAATACTACCAATGTTAATTACATCTTGATATCACTTCCAGGTGAATGCTGATCAACAGAAATAGCAGTGGGACTTTATTGACAAATATGTTTAGGAGAGAGCCAGTGTGGCATAGTAGTTAAGGCGTCAGACAAAACACCAGCTGGGTGAACTTGGGCCGCCACTCTTCCAGACCTAGGAAAAAGGCAATGGCAAAGCATTTCTGAAAATCCTTGTGAAGAAAACTGCAGGGGCTTGGCCAGAAAAATCTAAGACATGGGTGTCAAACTGGCGGTGTCACGTGTCACATGATGCTTCACAATGTTTTTTCTCTTCTTGGAGCTGGGGTGGGCTGCACATGGGGTGGGCTGCACATGATGCATCCGGCCCACAGGCCGCCAGTTTGACACTCCTGATCTAAAAGGATTGGACATTATTGAATGGAAGAAAAAAATGTTTAGAAGCATCATAAAAACTTTATAAGGCTTTAATCTTTTAAGGCCATCAGATCTTCATACTTCAAATTAGAATGTATTAGTTTGGGATATCTTGGTTTTAATAACATTACTTGGAAGACCAGTACCTTGTTTCTATAGGTCCATGCAATGAAGAAAATTTAGTTCCAATATCTCTTTTTTTCTGAAAACCATGGGCATTAAATTTGCAGCTAATTTCACTTCAGTGGAACTACTACTAATGGATGGAAACTGAACAAGGAGAGATTTAACCTGGAAATAAGGAGAAACTTTCTGACAGAACAATTAACCAATTGAACAGCTTGCCCTCGGAAGTTGTGGGAGCGCCATCACTTGAGACTTTCAAGAAGAGATTGGACTGCCATTTGTCAGAAATGGTGTAGGGTCTCCCGCTTGGGCGGGGGGTTGGACTAGATGACCTACAAGGTCCCTTCCAACTCTGATTATCTGTTATCTGTTAAGCATTTTCATTACTAGAATTTGGCCAGAAAGGGAACATCAGTTCAAAAATAGTTCACAGTTCACATATTTCACAATTAGAAAATGCCTGAATGTTATTAGCACAAATGTTTATTTAAATATTGGAAATAAGAGAATTTAATCCTTTTCATTAAAATAGTAATGAAATATTGATTTTTCTATTCACTATCTTTTTTCCATTAGCACTTATGTTCATAGAATAATATTGTATTTTTAAAGTATTTTAATTTCCTTTAAAGCTCTATCATGTTAATTTGCGAACAAAAAATGGAATTTATGTATGGAAGCAAATCACAGACTTTAAAGGTCAGCCTCCTACACCACGTGACAAGCTTGCTTGCTGGGTATATAAAGACAGGTAATTTCATAAATGATTTCATAAATGGGGAGGAAAGTGATAGCTGATTTAAAAATATCTGGTAACTTAATGGCTTGATAACATTTATCAGTGGGATATACTAATACGAACAACACTTACATTATAAGTAAATAAAAATAGGTTGTAATATTTAGAATTTTTTAAAAGATAAAATGTTTTGAATATTGAATTCATTTTTCTCTTGAGATTGCCAGTGCATTGCTAACAGAAAAGTAGAATACTTTGGATATCTTTCTTATTTATGTAGAGTTAGGAATACATATAAAGCAAATAAACAGATTGCTACAGGTGACATTTGAGAAGTCTTGTGGAAAATGAAAGGGCAGAACTATAGTATTCTTAGAATTATTGCAGAGAAATTAATTAGTAATTTTAATTCCAATTATTTCAGGTTAATCTACTTTGGTGGATATGGCTGTAGGAAACAAAATGAGCTAAGTGACTGTTTTGATGTTCATGATGCATTTTGGGTAAGATAAGATTTAATTCCAAGAAAAAAATAGAAGTTGATTTATTATTAGTGCTTTTATTGTGTTTTTTATTATTATTATTATTATTACTACTACTTCTAATGTCTTTTACTTTTTTTAGGAAGGTCAAATATTCTGGGGATGGCACAATGATGTTCATGTTTTTGATACAAGTACTCAAACTTGGTATCAGCCAAAAATTAAAGTAAGCATTGTAACTATGTATAGATATTAACCGGGTGCATTGTGACACCAAACATATTTGTTGTAGGCATATTCCAATTATGGTTATTTCTCTTACTTGCAGCGTGGAATTGCACCTCAGCCTCGAGCAGCTCATTCATGTGCAGTCATAGGAAATAAAGGCTATGTTTTTGGAGGACGGGTTTTGGTTTGTACTCAGTATCCACTTATTTTTTTATGAGAAGGATAATTTAGTGCAGGAAAGGGAAGAAATATATCTTTTTGAAGTAAAAAGAGACAAACTATTGCTATTAGGAATTTTTCCCCCGTCAATTTTCCTCTGGCTGTAGCTTAATTTCAAAATTTAGTCATAAAAGACTTAAAAGGGCTTATTGAAGAATAGAAAAGTAAAATGTTCACTGTATTAAATGAGACTATTGTCCATCTAACCAAGGGGTCTTCAAACTTGACAGCTTTAAGACTTGTGGACTTCAACTCCCAGAATTCCTCCTCCAGTCACGTTAGCTCAGGAATACTGGGAGTTGCAGTCCACAAGTCTTAAAGTTGCCAAGTTTGAAGACCTTTAATCTAACCTAATATTTTTACATGTAGAACTGTCCAGCAGCTGCTAAGTA